AAGCAGGCCCAGGATTATTTGCTTCAGGCTATTCCAACCAACATCATTTGTGAACAGTTTCCAGGACGCTCTGAACATGGCACTTTTTTCTGAATCAGTCACGTGTTCTTTTTTTTTTTTTTTATCATCAAAAGGTGACACTCTGGCTCACACATTATGCTCCCTCATAAACACAGCACTTCTGCAGTGGGGTGATAACATCTCACTTCCTTCCACAAACTCAGCAAGAGGAAACAGACTGATGTGTGCAACTAACCCAGTAGTAAAAGACCACACAGGCACAAAAAAAGACTACTGAGTGACCTGATCCAAGTCAGAACCAGAACTTTTATTGTCTCCTACACATTCCAACTCAATGCTTCARCTATTACTGTTACAGATATGCTAACAAGTACTTAAATCACACTGCTACTCAGAATTACTCTGATTTTGATTGAACTGTTTAGAGATTAGAGGTCTAATTTGTTTTTTTATTAATTAAATCTTGTGTGCCATATTTAAGAGAAAGAAAATGTGGAGAGAGAGACACAAATTTGATTTTCTGTAAAACTAAAAAGGCACATACTCATACTGAACATTGCATAACCACCAAAATCTTACAAACACTAGATCAGTCACCAAAGATTTTTTCTTATTGGTGCAAGAGCTGCAAAAGAGGTTGAAAGTAAAATGGCACACTGGTTTGTACTTTTTATGAAAAACACAACTGAACTTATTCTGTACACAAAACACCATATGTCATGTTGCATTATTGTCCTTAACAACCGGACAAACCTTTAAAACAAGGTTTTACATTTAGGCAAACAGCCATCCCCTGYATCAGAGCTGGTCCTGAACCTGGTTGGCCCTCTTAAAGGAGCAGTACAGTGTGTAGTCATACAGGAACATTTTTCTTCTGAATTGTTAGGCTAATTGTTTCTAATCCATTTATGCCAGGTTCTGACAATCTTAAGAACGCTCTGATTTTGGTGATGGCTCTAAAGATAACCTTATGAGAAATTCCTGCTGTGTGGGGTGCAGGAAGTGATCTGGTTAGCTCAGAAGAACGTCGGGACCATTCCCATCTCAAATCTAGGATATTCAACATTGGATTGTCTTGGCCAGAAATCACAGCGTGTGTGATGTTCCCCGAGAACAAACAAGCTCACAGCCAGGTGACAGAAACACACAGGTTAATGCAAAATACAGAAAGACAAAACTGYCATGGTGAAACAGACAGTCTGGTGAACATCAGAGACGTCTTTTTATTTTGTTTTTCCTCCATTCAAAATATTCCACAAACTATCGCCATTGCTCTCCTCGTCGGCCATGTTTATTTACTCTGACCTCATGTTTGATCTCGAGAGGTTTTGCAGGATTTTCCCTCTGACATCTGAATGTTTGAGGGAAATCTGTTCATGTATGGTGTGTTGTACTGTGATGAGAGTCTGTACACCACACACTGTAGGACCGAACCTGTTATATAGCTATGATTTTTGGTTTAGTTTTAAAATCTTGCCCCGTGAACCAGGTAACATTAATAATTAAGGTTTATTTTATTCAGTTCAACTCAATAATACTAGCTATTAGAACAATTCTGCTCTCTTAAATACAAAACAAAATGCCTCTTGGCTTGTTCTACTCAAAGCTCCATGCATCAGAGTGTGTGTAGGAAAACGTTTTTACATCATGCACTAAAATAACTTAAAAGGTTATCTCTGGTTCACAAACTAAGACCCAAATAACTGAAAAAAACTGAAGATTTTTCTTTCTATTAACATWAAACTGCAACTTGGATCGCTGTCAAAAAGTGATCAAAGTTTGTATCTTACTTGGCCCAGGAGTAACTTTACCTACTAAWTTATTTTCTCAAGCTGTTGTAGTAATCCATTTGATTTTTTAACCTGCTTCTTCTTACAGGTTACAAGGACCTACTGCCTATCTCCTGCAGTTAATCCACTAGATCCAGAGTTTCAGAATTAGCAGCAGCACATGTCTCTATACCTGAAGTTTTTGATTTATTAAAAGGGTTTTTCAACTGACTTTGAGTAAACTTTTATTCACCATAAGTGCCAAGTAAATGGKGAGTTTAGAATATTCAGAGAAAAATGTTGAATATTTAATGATAAATCACAAGTGTTTGCTTTAAATGCACACTCCTASTTTATTTTACATTTCAGTATTTTTTTCTCCTTCCAATAATCACACTTTAGTTTGAATAAAGTAAAACCATACTAATTTCTAATAAAAAGGTTTTGAGGAGGATCATTGGGCCTCATGCAAGAACATGTTCGTATTCTTATCCTAAATTTCTCTTACTTTTGTTCGTACGAAGGGTTCGTACGAACATGTCACGTCAGATTCAAAAAACTCTTCTA